CGCCAGCATCATTTCAACCAACTCCATTTCAACTCTAACTTCTTCACCCTTGCTCAAATGTGCCAACCACCAAGAATTTGCATCCGGCGCAATAGAAAATAGGCATTCTATTTTCCCGAAAGCGCCGAATCCCGCCTCGCAAGCTCGGCGGAAGGGAGAGAGGGACCCAAACCCATCTCAACCCTGCAAACACCACCTCCTTTTGTAAATGTGCTAACACCACCAAGTGTACACCACCATGTGTATGTGTGTTAGCTTTTCACAATCATTTCCCAAAGGTGTTAGCACTCCGCTAGATCCTAAATGCATATGCAATGAGTTAGACCATCTAGTGGCACTTTGATAACCGCACTCCGATACGAGTTTCACCCCTCTTAATAGTACGGCTATCAATCCTAAATGTGATCACACTCTCTAAGTGTCTTGATCACCAAAACAAAATAGCTCCTATGGTTTATACCTTTGCCTTGAGCTTTTTGTTTTTCTCTTTCTTCTTTCCAAGTCCAAGCACTTGATCATCATCATGGTATCATCATCATCATGCTATGATCTTCATTTGCTTCATCACTTGGAGTGTGCTACCTATCTCATGATCACTTGATAAACTAGGTTAGCACTTAGGGTTTCATCAATTCACCAAAACCAAACTAGAGCTTTCAAGAAGCTTCTGGATTTGAGGGTAACGGGTCTTTGAGTCGGATAGGACTTCGCTGATGAAGTACACAGGTCGCTGTACTTTGAGGGCGTGCCCCTCTTCTTCCCGCTCTACTACCAGGGCGACACTGGCCACTTGTGTGATGGCCACAATGTAGAGTAGAAGGGGTTCTCCATCGGTAGGAGGAACCAGGACCGAGGCCTTTGTCAGAAGCAGCTTGACCATGTCAAGTGCCTCCGGGGCCTCGGATGTCCATTCGAAGTGGTCGACCTTCTTTAGAAGTCGATAAAGAGGGAGATCTCGTTTGCCGAGGCGTGAGATAAAGTGACTAAGCACGGCGAGGCACCCTGCAACTCGCTGTACTCTCTTTATGTTATGAATCGGGCCCATCTTAGTGATGGTTGAGATCTTCTCTGGGTTGGCTTTGATGCCACGCTCGGAGACAATGAAACCAAGCAGCATGCCCCTCGGGGTCCTGAAAACGCACTTCTTAGGATTGAGTTTGATGCCATTTGCTCGGAGTTTTGCAAAGGTCTGCTCAAGATCAGCTATGAGGTGATCTGCCTGATTAGATTTGACTACGATGTCATCAACGTAGGCCTCAATGGTCCGGCCGATGAGGTTCTCAAAACACTTGAGCATACAATGCTGGTATGTAGCCCCGGCGTTCTTCAGACCAAACAGCATTGTGACATAGCAGAACGATCCGAAGGGGGTGATGAAAGATGTCGCGAGCTGGTTGGACTCTTTCATCGTGATCTAATGGTACCCGGAGTACGCATCAAGGAAGCAGAGGGTTTCGCACCCTGAGGTAGAGTCAACTATTTGGTCTATGCGCGGCAAAGGAAATGGATCCTTTGAGCACGCTTTGTTGAGACCCGTGTAGTTAACACACATCCTTCATTTCCCACTCTTCTTTCGTACAAGAACGGGATTAGCCAACCACTCTGGGTGGTACATTTCCTTGATGAATCCGGCCGCCAAAAGCTTTGCGATCTCCTCACCGATGGTCCTGCGTTTCCCCTCATCGAAGCGACGCAGGCGTTGTTTCACTGGCTTGGAGCCTAGGCAGATCTTCAAGGCGTGCTTGGCGACTTCCCTCGGAATGCCCAGCATGTCTAAGGGTTTCCACACAAAAATGTCTCTGTTGGCGCGGAGGAAGCCGACGAGCGCGCTTTCCTATTCGGAGGAAAGAGTGGTACCGATGCGCACCGTCTTTCCCTCTGTGCTCCCGGGGTCTATGAGGACCTCCTTAGAGCCTTTCGCTGGCTCAAAGGACCCGGTTGACCGCTTGGGGTCGGGTGCCTTTTCGGCGACTTCTTTCCTGATTGCCGCAGCGTGGTCGCAGCACTCGACCTCGCACTCATAGGCACGCTGGAAGGAGGTGCCGACGGTGATGACCCCACTGGGGCCCGGCATTTTTAGCTTGAGGTAGGTGTAGTTGGGGACGGCCATGAACTTCGTGTACAATGGTCGTCCTAGGATGGCGTGGTAGGTTCCATGGAACCCAACCACTTCAAAGGTGAGGGTTTCCATCCTGTAGTTGGATGGACCCCCAAAGGTGACGGGTAGATCGATCTGCTAAGTGGCATGACTTGCTTTCTAGGCATGATACCATGGAAAGGTGCTCCAGTTGGCCGGATGCACGCTCGATCGACGCCCATAGCATCGAGTGTCTCAGCGCACATGATGTTGAGGCCGCTACCTCCATCCATCAGTACTTTGGTGAGCCATTTTGTGTCGACGATCGGGTCAACCATGAGTAGGTATCTCTTCGGCCATGGGACGCTCTCCGGGTGGTCGGTTCGATCGAAGGTTATAGCGGACTCTGACCACCGGAGGAAGGTAGGCCTGGCCGGTTCGGTCGTGTAGACCTCACGGCGCGTGATCTTCTGGCGGCGCTTGGAGTCATAAACCTCCGATCCCTCGAAGATCATGAGGCAGCCATCCGGAGTTGGGAAGCCGTCGTCCTTCCCATCGACGTTGTCCATGGTAGGGTCGGGGTCCTTCCCGTAAACCCCTTTGTTGGAGCCTCCGGACAAGAACCACTTCATGAGTATGGAGTCCTTATACAGATGTTTGATGGGGAAGGCATGGTTCGGGCATGGCCCCTCGAGTAGTTTTTTGAAGTGGTTTGGAGTGCCCTCCGTGGGCTTCCGACCACCCCTTCGGACAGCAGCGACCACGAGCGAGCCCTCGCGCCGTTGCTTTTTCTTCTTCTTGGCAGAACGATTGGAGGCGCCTTCGTCGGTGTCCTCGTCCCGCCTCGCCTTGCCGTTGAGGCGGTCGAAGATCGCTTCGACTGCTTCTTTGCCCGAGGCGTGGCTGGTGGTGATGTCGAGGAGTTCCTTGGTGGTTCGCGGGCCCTTGCGTCCCAACTTGTGAACCAGGGACTCGCAGGTGGTCCCTGATAGGAAAGCTCCTATAACGTCGGCGTCGGTGATGTTAGGTAGCTCGTTGCATTGCCGGGAGAAATGCCGGATGTACCCATGAAGGGTTTCACCGGCCTTCTATCAGCAGTTCTTGAGGTCCCATGGGTTCCCAGTGCGCTTATATGTGCCCTGGAAGTTCACCACGAAGATCTCCTTTAGGTCCGCCCAACTCTAGATTTTGTTGGACGGCTGGTGTTCCAACCATGTTCATGCCGAATCGGCCAAGAACAATGGAAGGTTGCGGATAATGAAATCATCATTATCCGCACCAACGGCTTGGAAGGCAAGCCGATAATCCTCGAGCCATAGTCCGGGGTTCGTTTCTCTAGAGTACTTTGGGATGTTGGTTGGTGGTCGGTACCTTGGCGGGAAGGCAGCGTTGAGGATGTGTCGACCAAAGGCCTGAGGCCCCGGCAGGCCAGGGCTCGGGCTCCGGTCTTCGCTGCTGTCGTAGCGTCCGCCACGGCGAGGGTGATAGCCACGGCTAGCTCCCTCTCTTGGGTTGTCGTGGGTACGCCTGCAAGCGTCGAGGGTGTTGCGTGCGTCACGGTTGCGGTCGAGACGCTGATGCACCAGGACTGCGGCACACTGCCTGTCGCCTTGTGGCACCTGGTGGACCGACGTGCCCTTGCCGGGGCGCTCGAAGAGTGTGCATTGGCTGGCGTCGAGCTCGCATAACCGAGACAACGAGCTCTCGGCCTGCTATGCCGCCACACGCTCGAGCAGCGAGCGGATCTCGTGGTGGCCCTAGCAATCCTTGGGCGTCACGGCCTCTGGAAGACCGTAGAGTAAGGCCGCCACAGCGGCGATGTTCTGGCATGCCCGAGCGAAGCGAGGGAGGGCTTCATCGTCTGCGATGATCCTCCGGCTCACGTCGCAGGCCATGGCGCGTGCGCGCCCACCATCTCCGTGACGCTCAATCTCCCGATCGAGCTCCGCGCATTCCTGCTCGAGCTGAAGTCACGCTTCCTCGATTTCTCGGTGTCGGGCTTTTAGCTGTTCCACCCGCATGCGAGGTGGGGCCGCTGTCTCCCCCTCGCCCTCGTCGTTGAGCTCATTCGCCGGGGTAGCCTCCTCCTCGAGGACGCTTTCGACGTGTCCCTCAGGGGTACCTGTCATGAAGCATTCACGAGAGGGGTGATGGCTTCCCCTGCTGGAGTCAGAGCCAGAGGGTGACTCCGGCTCCTCTGCGAGGAGGTCGTCAAAAGATTCCGCGACGTGTTTGATCACCCCCACGAACTCGTCATTGACGGGGGACAGGATCATGCGCTACGCCACAAGGTACGGTCCTCGGTACTACGGTTGACTTTGAACGCCTTGCCTTATCTGCTCCGTGCGTCTTTGTAAAGGAGTCATGTGCAGACGTCGGGTGAGGCGGAGCCAGCCCTCGGGGGTCGGGCGAGGCAGAGCTTGCCGTCGTACGTCGGGCGAGGCGGGGCCAGCCCCCAGACGTCGGGCGAGGCAGAGCCAGCCCTCGAGGGTTGGACGGGACGAAGCCAACCCTCGGGAACCAGCCGAGACCGACCCGACCCTCGGGCCGGCGAGGCGGAACCCACGGCCTTGGTGGCTGGACGAGGCGAGGCCCACCAAGAAATGTAGTTGCGTTCTTGACCGCTCTGATGAATTGGCGTTGATGGGCATTAACTCCTCATCTTCGGGTACCCTAGTATTGGTCCCCGACACATACCATTACACCATTATGATTACAACATCACATCGAATCATTTGACACATCGTGCTTTTAAGCATGATGAAATGAGGCGAAGAAAAAGCAAAAGGGGGATAGTTTAGTAGCTTCTAAAGCATGTTTCGATGTAGCTACAGCAGCTAGCTCAGCACCGTGTCATGTAGCACAAGGAAAATTCTCCATAGAGTTAACTCTTTTGATTTGCAAAAGGTGCAAGCTTTAGCATTCATGTATGCCCACGGCCTCCACATTTGGAGCACATGATGTTCCCAGTTCCTCCACAACCTGCAATAATTTGGATATCAGCAGGTATAGGTCATGTATCAACTGTATAGCAGGAAGCAACTGTCGCACAAAATGTGCTTGTCAAGCTTATTTACCTAGGCATCTGACTTTCACAATGATTCCTTGGCTCTCTAGTATTGAGTCGACATACAAGCCTGAACCAGCGCATGTTGCACACAGCACAGCACCTTTAGCTTCACAGCTTGAGCAGGGAGGGTTGTCCCCAACATTCTTCTTTTCCAAATTTAGACCGGATGGTTTTCCAATATTCTCCTCTGGGACAGATTTGTCATAGCAGAATAACGATTCAAGATTACTTCTATTTCTTTGGAGGTCATAAATTGCACTTGCTTTAATCTGTGTTGCAACAAAAATTTATCAGTCTCTTGAAACAAATTTCCTTTCAGCCTGGTAAGCAAAATCCAATGTGCTGCAATTGAGCACAACAAAAGAAAAAGGAGAGAAAACGACAATTTGTGCAGCAAGATTTCTCAATAGTCGATAGGCATGGCAAGCATGTCTGTGATTGATATATAGGCAAATAGGTTTGTGAGTACTAAACACTGGATACTGATCAGTACTTTATATCATTGACAGACATTGGTGGTAGCAGTGAGTTAGATTGCCATGGCAACTCTCGGAATTTTAAAGAAAGCACATACTACAAGACTACCTTGCACAACAACAATTAATGCCAGCTATCACTGTTCACATGCAGCCCTTGTCATATGTAAAGGCACACCCTTGTGCTGTTGTGCATAGCAACCAGAGAAACATGCCTGAGGGAGATGCAGGTACCAAATTTGATAACAGGGAGATCCCAGTAACAGGAGACCAAGTAGATAAAAATCAACCACACACAAGTACTACATGTATATTCACATGGTTAAATCGAAGCACGCGTACTACAGCTATATTCACATGGTTACACCGAAGCACGTATACTACAGCTATATCTACATTCACATGGTTAAATCAACGAGAGCATACTACAGCTATATTCACATGGTTAAACTGAAGCGCGCATACTACAGTAACATTCACATGGCTAAATTGAAGCACACGTACTAAAGCCATGTTCACATGGTTAAATTGATACACGCATACTACAGCTATATTCAAATGGTTAAATCCACACTCTATCTGCTCCTATAGTCCTATTCAATATACACGGTCATGTTTCTCTGATATAACTTGTATGGCATATATAGCTAAAGACATGCTAGTATGCTAAATATTTTTTTACAGTATGTTGCTTGCCCTGGTAGATTCCTCAGTGTAGCTTTTCTAATATACACACAGTTAGTAAATGTATACTCAACTGAAAGCACCTTTATTGATCAATTAGTTATTTCCTTACGAACTTCAGCAACAGTATCATCACTCATCAAACACCCAAAGAACTAAAATGAACTGGCAGTATGATCACAGATAGAACAGCTTGTCCCTCACAAGCGTCAGATCAGACGGCAGTTTTTCTAGGGCAATAGTCAACAAAAATTGTTGCAATCCAGTTTGTTCATGGAGGCTGCTGTTCCACACAATTTACTGGTTTAAGGCTTTAAGCATATTCTTGGCACATTTAGAGAACTACGGAGCAGTAACAAGTGGAATAGCAATATTTTCAGAGGCCAAACAAATTTAAGCGCCTTCCATGCTGGCAGTCACACGGTATCTTCTACGTGCAAAATTTCCGTTCAATAATGTTTGCCTTTAGCATTTTGTTCAGTATCTGGGGTACAACGTGACTAAAATGACGCACTATCTGGGGTACAATTTGACAAGAAAGCACTATCTGGGGGGCAAAACGTGAAATAACGCACCAAAGTTACAACAGAATCCGTCGCCAAGGCACAGCGACCCTGGAGCTCTGCAATCAGCAATCTCGAACAGGACGACGAGATCGGCGTACCCATTGGTTCCCCCCGCAGACCTAGACTAGAGACACGGAATTCACACCTCGCGAGGGGGTGGAACAGGAGGGGGAGAGGGAAAGGAGGCCCACCTTAACCGCGCGGGACACGGACCGCACCGAATGGGAAGCCGCGCGCGGCGGCACCGACGCGGACCGGCGGCCTCGGAGCGACGCTGCCGCAGCGACGGGCGGCGGCCGGAGCCCAGCGGAGACCTCCATGCGCTCCTAGAGGAAAATTTTCTTGGGCTCGCCGTCGCAGCGGAGGGGAAAACCGGAAGAGCCGAAGAAGAGGAAAGGGAGACGGCGAGCCGCTCCCAACTTCTTGTTGCGCTTCTCAGATTTCCAAGCCCCAGCAGCTTCGGGTTCATCGCCCCCCGCGGGAGAGGGCCCGCTTGCAGAGAGCCAATCGATGGCCTGGAAACTGAAAAGTAGTCCCTCTCTAGCCCGTGAAAAATGGAGTGCGAACAACGTTGCTGGCTGGGCTGTCGCTATGGGCTTAGAGCGGCAGCGGTTGGTTGTTAAGTGGCCCGGGCCATCTTCAGAATTTGACTACAGCCCAGAGACGTCAACATTTTCGTTTGGGACGCCTCTCTGTCCTGTACTACGTACGATCATCTGCCGACGTTGCGCGCAGGGCCACCGCCGGCGGTCCACGGCGACGGCGGCAGGGCCATCGCTGTCGGTGATGCGCCAAGACTTTGGCGGAGCGATGCATCTGATGCGAATCTTACCTGGATGAAAGGCTGAAGCGCAGCTGTGCAGGGGTGAGCAGACATCCTCAAAGTGCCATGACATACATCCTGAAATCCCTGTCCAAGGACGCCACAAAAACATATATGGCATGGTTGGAGCACTCGTAGGGGAACGTGAGACGCTCGAGATCAACCCCACCGATGAACTCTAGTGATAGGAAGGAAAAGAGTGGAGTTGAAAAACAACTTGTAGCCTCGTAGGCCTGTTTTCTTCTTACTTAATTAAAAAAAAAAAAAACACGAGCCAACTGGGCTTTCGCACCACAAATAAGACACAAGAGCTCAGTTCCACCGTTCTCACGCAAACTCGTTCCTGCAATCCAGCTTCCCACGTACTCCTACGTACGTACCATATCTTCACCTCGCGAATTGACGACGACGTAGGCGAGCGCCGAGCGGCGGCCGCGTCGGGGTCGACTGGTCGTCGTCTCCGTCGCCCTCTCCCCCGCCTCGACGTATCTTCTTCACGTGCACATAGGTTAGGTTGCCCCTTTGTTTGGTTAGGTTAACCATTTAACTCGCCACGGCGGCTCGCTGAGCATGATGAGCTCCTGGCGGCGGCGGATATGGGGAGACGAGACGACGGAGAGTGACGCGACGGATATACGTCGTGTCAACCGGCAGACAGCAGCCGTGCCCACTGCCCAGCGACGTAGGAGTACGCGGTGTCGCCTGATCAGCGCGTCATTTCAGCGGGGGTCCCCGATCGAAACTTCCAATTGACCTCTCTCGGCGACTGGGCACGTCGCGTCGGGCGTCCTCCTGCTGCTGTCCTGTCCCCAATTCTCCCCTGTCAGCAGGACGACTCCGCGGTTCGACGTCCATCCCGGTTTTGGGCCCGGCACCTGATGGCTGACGCCCAAAACGAGGCGTGCGGTTTCGCGCAGGACGGACAATCGGTTTCAGACATGGCTGGGGTCGTCCAAGAATCATAAAAACATTGCCGGTTTTGGCTTCTTGCAGTGCAAAGTCCCCACTTTAGCCGCAAGGTTTGGTCTGATTGGAGGGACGCTTTCCCTGAGTAGGTCTCTGGGACGACTCGAGATCAAGCCTTACTAGTACTAGAGCCTACAGGAAGCTTGCGAAGGCAAACCATGCCGGTCTTTGGAGAGACAACAAGCGAGTAGAGTAGACCACCCGGCGCGTGCAATCTCCGATGATTTGCAGCGTTTTTCTACGAAATTTCAGCGAGGATAGTCCATGCTTCACAGACTGCCCCGTCGCACAGACTGCAGGAAACAAGATTCTGCAGGGTCAGGGGACGTCGCGCGACGACACGGAAACGGTGCGCACCCAAACCAACCAAAAAGAGCGCGATTGCGGGGGCGGCCCGCACGGCCGCCGGCCGCGAGCCCTTTTGACTTTTCATTCAATTCAACTCACGGCGTCAGCGCGCGGTCACCGTTTCTGGACGGGCTTGCCTTTTATACACGGAACTGAACTGGCCGACCAAACTTTCCTGCTGTGCGCTGGTGTCACACGCACTCCGCTACGTGTACACGTCTCGGCACCTCCGCTCCGCTCGACCATCCGAAAGCCCGCCCGGGCGGCCACGTACGTCACGTCCGTGCACGCCACGGCGACGCTGATGCCATGCCCCTCGAGGTCGCCGAGCGGACGAGGACGCAGGCGGCGGGCGGCAGCGCCGCCATCTCTTCCGCACGCTTCTCCCCATCCTCGTATCTCGTTCATATATATGCATGCCATTTATTATTTAGCCAGGTTACGGCGCTGATCGGGATTATTAGCCATATCCGTCGCGGATATGGGAGAGCGACGCGATGGATTCCGGCGCTTGTGTATCTGTGTTACGGGGGGGATACGAGGTTTGGCTGATCGGCGGGCTATTCCGGCGCGGCGGAAGACCCAGCAAAGCAGCAACCCAGGCCAGGTATGCAGTCGCGCATAGGTTGCACGTCGGTTTCACTTCTTCTTCTTCTTCTTTTGTCTGGCGAATAACTTAGGAGCTAAGGATTACCTTCATCATCGGTTATACTCCGATCCTATGGCTAAAAATAGAGAAAGGTTCATGCGCACACCGCAGTAATAGGTTGTGGGTGTACTACTGGACCAAATGCAATACAACACTATTTCGATCCATAATTGGCAAAACGATGCTGACCAAATGTCGGCAAGTACGAGCGTAGAAATATCCTAAGGTCTGTCTGCTCGTTTCTCTGAACAAAATTTTCTGTGCAAAATCTACTGAACTCTGCCGCCACCGTCTCGTCCGGTCGGCGTCGCACTCCGTGCCGAAGATAAACAAACGAACGTTTTGTTTCGCCGGCTCAAGCCAAGCGCAAGCGCCGTCGGGCCCCTCGCCCTACACAGTACACACCAGGCCACCAGACACCACACACCAGTGCAGAAATTTTGGCGATGTCGGGCAAAGTTCACGAGGACTGGCAAACCGTCACGGGCCACACGGCAACCCAAGCCAAACCGTCACACACCGCTCCCGCCCAAAACGCGCGCGGCTGCCGATATCTCTATCTCTATCTCTATCGGCCTGTCCTCACTTCCGCAGTTCCACACCACACGGCCCGGCAGCTGCCTTCTGAGTTCTGCCGCTTCTCCCCCCCTTTCAATTCACGTCGCGGCCACCGACCGACCCGCCGCCCCAGGCCCCCAACCCAACCCCAGAGTTCCCCGTCCATCCTCCACGACGACCCGCCACCTCACCGTCGCCTCGAACGTACTCCCCCTCCCTCCCTCCCTCCCTCCCTCCCCTGTTCCCGTCCATTACTTAACCCGGACGCAAACACCCCGGCCCAAGCCCAGTCGCCTCTTGCCCAGTCGCCTCTTCTCCAGTCGTGCTGCGCCCTGCTGCTAAGCTTCGAGCTCGAGCCGAGCAGAGCCGCCCACGAGTCCTCCGCCCCCGCACATCTCGTCAAGACTCGAGGAGCCACCAGCCCCACGACCGCCTCGCCCCGCACCGAGATCCCCAACTCCCGCGCGCCCCGCACGGCATGCCGGCCGACCCAACCTCCGGTTAAACCCCCCGCCTTGCTGCTCATTTTATGGCGCTCACCCGCGGGCGCGCGCGCACTGCCCCCGCCGCCCCCAGCGCCTGCTTCCTCCTGCTCCTCGTGCTCCTCCTGACCTCCTCCTCACTCCTCGCCCCCACCAGCCAAGGGTCCGAGGGCCGGTCAATTCTCCTCGGTGCCGCTTCGTCCTCCTCCGGGAACGGACGGGGGAACAGCTGCGAGGAGCTGCCGTCCATCAGCGGCGGGGAGGCCCGGTGCGCGTACCTCCGCGCGCACTCGCCCTGCTCCCCCGCGGGGTACGTCGACTACCTCCGCCTCTTCTACTGCGCCTTCGCCGGCGCGCCGGCGGCGGCGTGCGCCGCGCTCGCGCTGTGGCTGGTGGTGTTCTTCTACCTCCTGGGCGACACCGCGTCCGAGTACTTCTGCGCGTCGCTGGAGGGCCTCTCGGCGGCGCTGCGCCTGCCGCCCGCCGTCGCGGGCGTCACGCTGCTGTCGCTCGGGAACGGCGCGCCCGACGTGTTCGCCAGCGTCGTGTCCTTCGCGTCGGGCGACGGCGGCGGCGTCGGGCTCAGCAGCGCGCTTGGCGGGGCGCTCTTCGTCTCCACCGTCGTCGCGGGCGTCGTCGCGCTCGCCGTGGGCGGCGCGCGCGGCGGGGTCGTCGTCGAGTGGCGCGGCTTCGTGCGCGACCTCTGCTTCCTCCTCCTCGCGCTCTGCTACCTGCTGGCGGTGCTCGTCAACGGGGAGATCACCGTCTGGGTGGCCGTGTCGTTCGTCTCGCTCTACGTCGGCTACGTCGTCCTCGTGTGGACCTCCCACTGCTGCGCCGAGAAGGGCAAGCCGGACGCCGCAAGCCTCTCCGCGCCGCTCCTCCTCGATGACGACGACGACGTCGTCCCGTCGCTGCCGTCCCACTCCAAGACGACGGAGGCGCCCGGCACGGCCACGTCGAGGGTTAGAGCGATGCTGCATTGGCTCGCGGGCGCGCTCTGCATGCCGCTGTACCTCCCGCGCCGCCTCACCATCCCGGACATCGCCGGGCACCGCTGGTCCCGGCCCTACGCCGTCGCCTCCGCCGCGCTGGCGCCGGTCCTCCTCGCCTTCACCTGGACCTCCTCGCAGCGCCACAACCCGATGTCGTCGCACAGCGTCGCGGTGCTCGTGGGCGGCGCGCTCCTGGGCCTCCTGCTCGCGTTGCTCGCCGCGGCCACCACGGATGCCAACTCCCCCCCGCGCGGCCGGAGGCGCCGCGTGCCGTGGCTCGCGGCGGGGTTCGTGATGAGCGTGCTGTGGGCGTACACCCTGGCGCGCGAGCTGGTGGCGCTGCTGGTGTCCATCGGGTACGTGGTCGGGATCAAGCCAAGCGTGCTGGGCGTGACGGTGCTGGCGTGGGGCGACTCCCTGGGCGACCTGGTGTCGAACGTGGCGATGGCGGTGCACGGCGGCGCCGGCGGCGCGCAGACGGCGGTGTCCGGCTGCTACGCGGGTCCGCTGTTCAACACGGTGGTGGGGCTGGGCCTGTCGCTGGCGCTGGCGGCGGGCGCGCAGCACCCGGCGCCGTTCGTGGTGCCCGCGGACGCGGCGGCGTACGAGGCTGTGGGGTTCCTGGTCGCGGCGCTGGCGTGGGCGCTGTTCGTGGTGCCCGTCCGCGGGATGCGGATCGACCGCGTCTACGGGGTCGGGCTCATCGCCATCTACCTCTGCTTCTTCGCCGTGCGCGTCTGCGAGACGCTCGGGCACTGGAGCTAGGACTAGGAGCCTCCGCCGTGACTGACAGTGACACTCCCCCCCTGCCCGCGTTCGCTCGTTCGTTTTTTTCTTGCTACTGATGATCGCTGTAAGGAATCCAACTGACGATGGTAGATCTAGATTGATGGTGAATGATAGTACAAAAACATTGAAGGGTAGATAATCTTGTATATTTACTGTAGTGGTAGTATGTCCTATAGAGTGGTAGCACTACTCCACACGTAGGAGTAGGTGTTGATTAGTGTCCTGACAGAGAATTTGTTTTCCCGTCCTCTTCTGTTTTGGAAGGGGTTCTGTTCTGACTTCTGACCGGAGGATGGCCGACAATTGTAATTACTGATCATAGCTCATAAGCCCCGGTAAGAAGGAGGGTTATTATTAGTGGAAAATAATGTTAAGATTCGATCGCAATTCGCAGAGGTGGGATCAAATTACTCCACTATGGTCTCCTCTCGCTCCTGAGGCTCCCACGTTCTTGCGGTGCCCTGTGGTTGCGGGCGGGTAGGCGCGCGGACGGCGGATCCCAGTTCGGTTGGCGCACGCTTCCTCCGAAACGACGCCTTGCGCCGTGTCCCTTTCGTTGGGGTGTCTAGCGTTGTCGTCATGTGAAGCAAAGGGCTGGGAATCTCTCCCGGAGTAAGCTTGCTGACAATCTCGGATGCTGGACGGGATCTGCTGCCTTGCTGGTAGCTTTTGCAATTAAACTAACCGAAACCTTGTACAGTAGCCAGGTAGAAGGGCCTTCCTCTTCCATTCTCTTATCCACCTGCAGAGGTTGCCTCGCCAGTAGTAGCTCTAGTAAACGTATTGTAATCAACTCCGTTCTTATCCATGAAAGCTGGTAATGGATTTTTCAAAAAAAAAATAAAGTCTGTCTATCCTATAACTATGTGTTTTATGCAGTTTCAACACATGATTTTTTTTGCACCATAGAATTAAGATCCAACAGCCTCCATCATCCTTCTACATCTAGCCTTCTTCTACCTCTAGACAATCACAAATCACAATATCACAGATCCACAGATCATAAGAAATAATTTTTTTTTCTATGAAAAGATAAATCACAAATCGTAGAGGAAGAGGTATACCGCTCGTGCCGTCATGTCAAAGCTCCTGTGGCTCCCTCACAGGGTCTTATTTTTTTCTCCGTCAGGCGTCAGCCCACAGGGACTGTTTCCACGCAAGCGCAGCCAGCCAAAGCAACAAACATACAACCAAAGCAAAGAGAAAAAAATCCATATATTTTTTTCCTTAAAATACATGTGTGTTATATAGTATTTCTGAAAAAAATAAACGTGTCCAAGTCGTGGGAATACATCCACGCGACCACGCCTCGTAACGTCGTCGTCTTCCTCTCCTATTCTCCTCTTTTCCGTCATAGCATGTTCGCTGGCTCGTATCTCGCTTATAAACCATGCCTTATCAGCCAACGAATAGTATTTTTCTCTCATATCAAATCAACAAATGGTACTTTTAGTCATGGCTTATAAGTCAAACCAGCCCAAACGAACAGAGCTAGTAAAACCTGTCGTCGCTTGCAACTTCTTCTCGTCGACTGCGACCTGGAGACTGGAGAGTTCATGGACCTGTGCAACGGCAGCAGCTGATGGAGCGAGCGAGCGTTAAATTGCCTCTGAATTGCGCTGGTGTACTCCTTGACTAATGACTAAGAGCACTATTCCCTATCAAACGATGTAACTATATTTGATCAATAAAGCTTGCCCAAGGGCTTTTATCAAAAAAAGACTAAGAGCACTATTCGCCTGGGACTGGGAGGAACGCGGTTACTGACGACAGACAGGTAAATTTGGTTGGATCCCCAGGTCTTCACGCGCAAACGCCGGGGGAGTCGTCGCCGGGCTCGCCGTCGTCAGCATCTGGAGACCGCTCTTTTCTTGTCATAGTTTTGTATATCAACAAAGTGGTGACCGTCTTTTATTCTTTTCTTTTCTTGTCATACTTTTTTTTATCAACACGTCGTTTCAAAATACTTTTTATCAACAAAGCAGTGACCCTCTTTTATATTCTTTTCTTCCCCGTTCTGTGGATTAGTTGCGTGAATTAACTAAGGCCCAGTTTACTTGTCCAAAATTTTGGTAAAACGACACTGTAGCATTTTCGTTGTTATTTGACAATTAGTGTCCAATCATAGTCTAATTATACTTAAAAGATTCGTCTCGTGGATTTCGTCTAAACTGTGTAATTAGTTTTATTTTTTATTTATATTTAATGCTTCATGCATGTGTCTAAAGATTCGATGTGACGGAAAATCTTGAAAAATTTAGTGTTTTGGAAGAGAATTAAACAGGCCCTAAGCGAGCATGGTATCACCAGGTGCGTTGCTTCCGCTTGGAATTACAGCTGCCGTTCCTTCCGGCGCGGTGCTTTCCGCTAGCACCAGTCTAGCAGCAGTGTAGGGCCTTGTTTAGAATGTAAGTTTTTTTACTCTCTCTTTATTATATTAAATTTTTTAATACATACATAGAGTATTAAATATAGATAAAAAAATAACTAATTACATAGTTTGATTGTAAATTACGAGACGAATCTTTTAAGCCTAGTTAGGTCATGATTGAACAATAATTGTCAAATACAAACGAAAATGCTACAGTGCCAAATACTGATTCCTAACCCCAGTCTAAACAAGACCTATGTCTAAAGATGGCAACGGGTAAAATCCACGCGGATACTAGCCCCAGATATCCATACCCGCGAGCAAAAATCCGTGCCCGCGCCCGCGCCCGTTAACCGTCACGGGTAGAAAACCATGCCCGTGCCCGCTGTCCGCGGATATCACATGCCCGCGGGCACACCCGTATACCCGCAAAAATGAAGCAACAAAGCACCCAACCATATCTTAATAGCAAGTAAGAAACAATATATCAAAAAATAAACGTCTATATCTCAACATTAGATAAAGTATGACACATTGACCATATAAGAGTCATCAAAAGTCTACATTAGTGTATATCAAGTCATCACAAATTAACACGAATAAAGACATACAACCGTATATAGAGTCATTGGCGCGGGTCTAGCGGGTTTGCGGGTGCGGATATCATTTTTCCATGCCCACGAGCAAATATCCATCGGGTTTAGAAGCACACCCATACCCGTGCCCGTGGGCACAAACTTAAACCCATATCCATGCCTATCGGGTTTTCTATCCGCGGGCACGCGGATATTTTGTGCCCGTTGCCATCTCTACCTATGTCTATAGACCACTGCTGCCACGTCTCTTCCGTGCCTCCACTGATGTCTCGACCAACCGTTGCCCTCACCTGTTACCTCAACTTGTCGGGAGAGTTGCGAGGGGGGGCACCACCACCGCACCAGAGCGCCCTGGTAGCTGTCGACGCCAAAGTCTGGTGTCGGGTGTCGCCGTGCGTGCGCAGGAAAGGCTCGATCAGTCGATCGGGTGCGCGCCGACGCGGCGAGGTATGCGGTATGCCGCCCGATGGATTATGGAACAGCAAAAGGCGAGGATCACGACGGCGGTCCCTCGGCCTGATCACACCAGGAAAGAAAAACCGCGTTTGCTCCGTCCGTTCTGCGTTCGTCCACGGCAGAACGAGTGGTCCAATGCAATATATCTGTTTGGCTATCCCGTGCAAATGTACCACCCCGGCCTCTTCACAGTTACGGACGCTGCACAAGTCGGGAAGGCTCAAAACAGCTCAATATTATGAGAGAAAAATATTATTCTTTCGCTGAAAAGTAGTGCTAAAGTAGTTCAAAGCGAACAGTTGCCCGAGGGGCGCGTCCTTCACCCGTCCAAATGTATTATGTCAGTTCCTGTAATGCTGGTAAAGCATGGTACGAGCGCGGCTTCGTTACATCACCTTTACTTGACTTTGATTGCTTGCTTGGTGCACACGGGACGGGCGAGTACGAGGATGACAGGGGATGTCTTCTTGGCATTGTTGGCACCCAGACACAGGGGTCGGACCGGCCGGGTCACGCGGAACATTGGTGCCGTGGACCTTGAGGTGGGGGGAGTCGGTGTGCGTGTGTTGGGCTTTTGGCTACGCGGCGTCCGGCGAGGCTACCGGGTGCCGGCGGATGCAACAACGGCTAGGATCCCTCGCCTGGGGAGGCCTTTTGTTTTTTCCTTTCGATTGGGCAGTGAGGTCGTGACATCACCAACAAGGTCATTCGTGGTGCCATCGCTTCGCATCTACAGAAGTATGGTGGTAACGGCCGCAATGAATGGTCTATGAACCGGTGCGGCGCGTACATCCTTTTCGTTCAATTCGTTTCTCCTGTGCTACGCTGACTGTCTATCCCTTTCTGCTCTTGGACGGTAGTTCAGGTTGTCAGGTCTCCTCCTGTACTTACATCATCCATATACCGCAGAAGGCTGTACCAGTACACGTAAAGAATACAAGGAAACAGGAGTGCATAAATGAATGAAGTTCCTGTCTATCAAACACAAAGAGAAGTCACCACAAGCGGTGCAACAAGAAAGCACCAGTGGTCTAGTGGTAGAATAGTACCCTGCCACGGTACAGACCCGGGTTCGATTCCCGGCTGGTGCATCTTTACTTTTTTTTCCTTTATTTTGTATAGATTTTTTTTTTCGACCATTTTTCATGTCTGTTCCCCGACCAACCACAACTGATATCTCCGCGCTGCTGCTCTGCTTCCAGGTTGGGGGGTTAAAACTTGGCTCAGCAACGCACGGTCCTTGCCTTTTTCGCCGTTCGTCGAGCCATCGACACGTCGCGTCCTGACCGCTGTATTGCCCCCGGCAACCACTCCGACGAGACGATTCATCGTCGCGTCCGATAGGCACGGCAATCAGGCATTATCATCGCCGCTGGACCACGACCATCATCATGGATGGACCGATCACCGATGAATGACGGCACGAGTGCATGACGCCAGTCTTGCAACTCGCCTACTACAATCCGGAACTCTGGAAGGACTCTTGCTCTTCGGCGGGTGAAGATTGATTGATGCCTTTACGCGTCCAGTTCGTTTGGGTTTATTTGGCTTAT